TGTAGTTGAAATAGGGCAGTCCACACTACTCATCTAAGTTTATGCAGCCATGTAATTGTCATGCCGAAAAGACAAATAAAGCGAAGTTTGAAGTACAAAGATAACCGTGGGCGGATAAGCTGAGTCCACTAATGGGAGTCTGTTAATTTGAGGCGGTGGGTGGGAATGGCATTCATTGGGGGTATGTCAGTATCTTATGCTCCTCCACATGCTACTCCTACAAGGGTGGAAGTAGACAGCGGAGGAAAGAGAGTGGAAGGTGAATGGTGGCAATACTCTGCCAAAGTAGTGGACTTGCATTAAAAGCTGTGTGGTTGAGGTGATGGTCAAGCCACCCATGAGAACTTACGAATCGGTGGGAGATCTGATGGTGCCAATCAATGCCCCATTTCATAAGGAAGTTCGCATTGCCAAAAAGGCAACCTGGACACAGCTGGTGCTTAATGTCGCATGCTTTGCGGCCAGTCACGGAAGTGCGTGCGAGTGCGTGCATGCGTCCACTCACTATGGACGCATGCACCAACACTGTTGGTTCTCATTCCAAATTCCCTAATCCGGTAGGATGTTCTATTAGAATATTAGTAGGATGCAGACATCGATTGGAGAAATGAAGAGAACTGATGGAAAACGACCAGATGTGAAGACACGTAAATAGCGTTGTTTTGAGCACTCTCCTGCATCTTTATTGCATTTTCACTTTACGATAATCTCAGGTGCCCGATACCACTGTGTGAACAAATAGAAACAAGTTTTTATTCGACTTTCGGGCCCATTTGAAGACTAAAATCTGTGGTATGGGACAGCCAACTCCTCAAGTTGTCAGTGCTTCATTCACCTGGGGTAAGTAAATACCTCCTCTTCTTCCTCATGCTACTTTCACAAGAGTAAATGTATGGTGGAGCTTGGAGAGTAGAAGCTGAAAGGAAATGAGGAGCCAGTCTGACACGCCAGTAGTGGTGCATTGAAAGGACTGCAACAGCTTGAACATGTATGCGTGTAGACTGACACAGGATGCTGATTTCAAACTGGTATAATTAAACGCAAGTGGTGATTTGTAATTGGAGGTTGTTGAGTCCAATGGATATTATAGTTTCTGGAGGTGTAGTGGAGGGAAACGAAACGACAGACAGGACACAAGTAAGGCTGCTTACTTACCGTGACTAAGGCTGGCAACGCAAAGCTGATGGGGAGCTAGAGCCGCAACCATTGTCAACGCGGAAATGTGGTGCGGTCCTCTGCATTTGTGTTGCAGCATCTTCTCCTTTGTGCACGTGATTCTGCAGCACTTGTTAGTTGGAATAAGAAAGGAGACCTTGGTGACTGCAGTCCGTGTGGCCTGACCATGATTAGTGATGCAAATCACAAGGTTATAACTGGAAAGTACATCCACTATTGACGTCTTGGTTTCACTGGAGCAGAGTACAGAAGAAATGAGCACGTTGGTGGAAGTGTGTCGAGATCGGACGAAGGTACTTGGAAGTCTCGAGAGCTAAACATCCTCATTATCAGCGCTACAATCAGCCAGCTGATATGAAGCCGGCTTCACCGTCGCTCTTCTACACGATAACTAAATTTCTCCTTAAGGCGCTAAAGGATGGAAAGGGGAAAACAGAAGGCCAATGCTTTTGGCAAAAGCAGTGAGCATTGTTATAGCCTCATTTGGAACTGATTGACACAAAATGGACACAAAATGGACCAGTGCGATCGAAGGCATCAGTAGCTGCTCGGCGAGGAAACCGAATTCGCGCTGGCATGCTTGCATTGTCGGTTTGCATGTGGCTAATCAGCAAGTCGTTCTACCTGTTGGTGACCAACTCAACGGAGGTCTGACGTGGTCTTCATGTCTGACAATGTAGAGCACGTACACTACTTTGGG